CACCTTTGCGGGTGATAAAAGCAACTGCTTCGCGGACAGATACAAGAACCCGAAATTCTGCAAAGATCTTGACCATACAAGCTCGTATCTTCTCTGTATTTTATCTATGGCTGGCCGTGCTATTGACTACCACGAAAGCTTCCAGATATGGGCGACAAAGTGGCATGTGGGAAATGGTGCGCGTTTATGAGCCCTGACTTCCCCGATGGTGCGCTTACACAAAGCAGACGACAAGCGATGTCTGCCCCGCGAAGATGACTCGGAAATAATCAAAGAGTATGATAGCGCTAGCCTCGTTGCTTTGAGAAGGCTTGAAGTAGGTCAAATCTCTCGCCGGCAACAAGCTGGGCTGGTGCTGAATTATAGAAACCAGCGAAAGACTTTGCCTCTCGCCCATTACATGGAAATTCAAGAGTGCATGCCGAATGGATGGGCATCACGATTGCAGATCTGTACAAAGTTCACCAGTTTCGGCACTTACCTCCGCGTCCCCGTTGAGACGGTCTATCTAGCGGTCAACTGCCTTGACCGATTTCTCTCGGTTAGAGTTGTGTCAGATGGGCACCTCGACGTAATTGGAGCGATCATTTTCGCCATTGCGGTCGAATTCGAAAGATCCAGTGTACCTTCTGTGTTTGAACTCGATAGCAGCCTCGCAGAGCGGTACCAACCAAGAGATGTTCCTTTTATTAAGTCAGCCATAGTTGACGTTTTAGAGAATTCGCTCAAAACACCGAGTCCATTCGTGTTCCTTCGTCGGATTAGTACCGTAGACACGAAGGTGCCGAACATCCTCCCACTTGCACAGTATCTATCCACATGTAGTCTACTAGACGCAAGATACGTCGGGATTGAGCCGAGCCGCATTGCAGCAGCGGCCTACTATCTTGCTCTGCGGCTTGTTTCTAGGAGTAATGACCTCGTACTCGACTGGGTAGGAAAACATCCCAGAGCAGCAACAAAAGCTAACGCCGAAGTAGAGCAACAAGCACGTCAAGCTCTCTGGGTACAAGATGGTGGAGCTGAGACCACTTATGGCTGCGCTGTGGAACACCAGCCAACAGGAACAAAGCACCGCACCTATCAAAGCTATGAGGATTGGCCAGTTTCAAGAAGCCGCTAGGGTCGTGGACCTTACCTTGAACAGCGTTTATCTTTTTCTGCCACGATGTTCCCGCCCGTGGGATTATGAGGGCCTGTACATTCCCTCCTGGGATGATTCAACAGACAGCTCGCTAGAGAACATCTCGAGCTCGTCAGAATTCAGCTCACAAGGCGGATGGGAAGAGGAGACATAAACGGACGGAAGTAATGATCTATGGCAGGTGTGGTGGAACTTTTTGTCCTGTCACCGCGGAGTAAACCAATCCTCCAACCTGATGCTTGATCAATCATGGTCACGACTCACGAAAGACCATTTGGTTTTTGCAGTGGTTGTGTTGTTAACCAACCAGCTTGCGGGGCTCGATAGTTCTTGCCACGCCCAAACAAAGTTCAAATGGCGCTACAACAGGATGAGGTTGTATTTGCTGGTCCAGAAGCCCGTTTGATCTCCACCGAAATGCCTATCACGTAGGTGCTCTCAAATAAACGAGACATACTATTTGTACTGTTGACCCTTTGCCTGTGCAAATATGTTGTGCAACCCACTAGAAGCCAATATTGCAGAAAGCTGGAACGACGTCTGGCTTCGTTCTGGGGACTGCATGACAACATATTTTCTGCCACGATTCACCCACATATACCAGGAAAAGGTCGCAGCTTGCTTCGTAAGGAAAGATGAGCAAGAATTGGCCGCAAGAAAAGATTGACAGCCCGTAAAGCGTAGCTCCTTTGGCAAGGCTCGTCTGACTCGTAAGGAATGACGAACGGGGGGATTCATCCTTCCCTTTCGAAGCAAGAAAC